ATAGTCACAAACCCGTTCATGACGGCCAGAGGAAAATATAACTAGACCTTCCTCTGCACTGACGTGACTGGAGCAGAATCCGTGGGTCGGACATATGATGCAGAGGGAGTCAGACAGGGTGGACATATGATGCTGTGTTTGAAACGTGCATTCGTGGTAAATAATGTGTGTCAATAAAATACCACAACTGCGTAAAAGGATTAAAAAAAAAAATAAAAAAAAAACAGGTCAGCCTGGGCTTACTCGTCCTATAATTTACCGATTGTTTCCTGATTTCATTCTGATTTATTTTCCATCAGTTAGTTATATTGTCTGAGTGACTTCTCTAACCAGGTTTGCTGTCATAACCACGCAAACCTGTCGCGCATGACTAAAACTGCAAAAAAATTCCCACTGTACATCTGCTCTTTAACGCTCTCTGGATGGTTCGCTGCATACATTTAAATGTGCTATATGTGTGTGTTTAAATGTTAAGAAGTAATTACTGCAGGAAAGTACTTCACCTCTTTCTCTTTGATTATTTTCATTTTTACGCATTTGGCCATTTATCTGCACCTGTTGGCAACTGACCGAGGCTGTACATCCCAGTGCTTAAACAATGCGTAATTACTGCCAGTGGTTGTGGCGTTGTCATACCTGCTGTCAGATGTTGTGTGCTGATGCTAGGACAACGCACAAACCCTCCTCCAAATTTGCGTGAATCACCTCAGCAGCCAGCCTTCTACAAACAGAAAATAAAATGATGTCAATGGCTATGATGAAGTCATCGATGTGGAGTTAAAGACTCGTATTATTCCACTTCCTAATTCATGAGCACAGACAGACTATCACAATAGCATTATTCATTATTTTTTCCCCGTAGTTGATTTCTTTGAAAATCTGAAACTAAAACAGACTCCCCCTCCTTTTTTTTTTCAATCAACCAATGTGTGCTGGGATATCAACGAGGAAATTACGCATGACGTTTCAGTTTTCTTCTTGCTGGCGCTCCTGTAGATCGACTGAGGGAATCCCCCTTGAAAGCATATAAATCCATCAGATAAAAAGACAGAAGCACAGAGCTGCCAATACCAGACGTGATCCAAGATCTCCATCTGATCAGAAACATGACAAACTTCCATTTCTGTAAGTCAGTTATTAACTGGATACCTGCGCTGCTGTTTCTACACACTGTACTTTTGTGTTGCATATTGGCTATCAGAGGGCTTGTGTGGGCCCATAAGACGCGTGTGTTGACCGTTATTATTCTCTTGCCGTACAGACTTCGCCAGCTGTGCGCTGCTGCTGATCCTGAGCACATCCACGGGACTCCCGATGCGCAATCTGAGCCCGGAAAATGACGCGCAATGCCCACTGCTCTTCAAGGGCCTGCTGCTGGACATCAAAAACGCTCTCAAGAGTGTGAGTACAATTAATTCATTATTTTAAAATTCTTTTCTTTCTTTCACTGACTCTGTAGTTTAAAGATAATTGTTTTTATTTTTTATGTCAGGAGGATTGGTGTTCCCCCATCATGTCTGACACAGTGGCGATAAGGAGCAAAGCAGAGACTGTGTTGGCCTGCGCACCCATTCTGGCTCAGGTGTGACTTGTTGATTTATCTGCGACATAAATTCTGATTTAAAAAATATTCTTAAAAGTAAATGCCAATACATCTTTAGATTTCTCTTACTTTTTGTTTATGGACAGCATAATGACAGACCTCTCTGTATCTTTTAAAAAAGATTTTTCAAAAGAGGATGAAATGGAAAATTACTTCATTTTTTCTTGGTCAAAGTAACTTGGCCTGGAAAACAAATCAACCTGCAGACTCCTTATATTTAAAAATGTTTGTTTTTATTCCCCACAGAACTTTAGTTGTATTGGCCAAAGAAAGTCATCCTTCGATGAGGTAAGCTCTTGCTATTCCTTTTTTAATGCTTTTTAAGATTATCAGCCGTATTTACATGTCACTGAAAAAAAGAAACAAGTGTCTGATGGGTGTGTTTTTCATGTATTGTTTTTTCCTGTTCCGGCAGCTTGAATGTCTGAGGAACATCATGAAGGACTTGGCCTACTATGATGCTCTTATTCAATCGTACCTCAAGTCCACCATCAGGGATCCTAAGGAAGAGGCTAAACTTTTGAGCCCAACTCTGGAGACAATAAAAAGTCTGAGAGAGGTGTGTTGGTTAGACACATGTGGGAGGGGTATAGCGAAAAAAAGAAAAATCATGCTTTAAAGGCAGAAATAGTTCGAGAATCTACTGGGAAATAACATTTGGAAGTTGCCTGACAAAATCTTTCTTGGTGTATACAGAAGTGCTCCCTGAAGGTGGATGAAGATGACGACTCCTCAGAGGTATTTTTCTATTCCCTTTTTTTGTTTGTTTGTTTCATGTTCACTCTGTCTTTGAGTAGTTTAATGGAAAACTGAAAACAACATTTCTTTTTCAACTCCTTGTATAGATTTAGTTTTCCCACACACACAGGGAACTCACAGTAGTTTTCTTGTCACTCACCCTGTATTTCTCCCCGTTGTCCGTCAGGAGGATGCTGCCCAGATGTGGGTCGATAATTCCTTCAACAACCGGCTAGAGATGTGCAAGATGATGAGGGGCTTCTACGTCCGAACCATCACCATCAACCGAGCTATGGGCTACATCTCCTCAGGTGACCACAAGTGAAGATCCTGCAGCCTCCTCAACATCACCATCACTCCAATCAACATCACAATATCTCTACTCATTTAATTTATCACAACTAAACAAGCTGTCCCGATCGTTCACTACCATCGCTTACAACTACTGACCAAATAGTGCTTTACATAGAACTACTGCTCAGTCATAAGCTATCTGGCAATCCTTCAGCTTCTTCACTCAGTGAGAGCTGACGGAAAGTCAAACTGTTGCTAAGGTTAGCAGACGAGGCCATGTTGGCCAATGAATGTATTCGATATTTGGGTAAATGTATTTATTTATTTAAGATCTATTTATTGCATTTATTTATTTAATATTTGATGGCCAGCGGTGTTATTTATTGCTATTTATAATAAAGGATTTTTGGTATCAAGTGCTGAAATGTTTTTTTTTAATGAAACTGTATCTGATGATATTTAATTATGGATAACACGCACACATATTGAACAATTAGGTAAAAAGAAACATCAAGGAGACTTTGCGATGTTTTATTCAGTCAACATTTGCAGATTTTGGAGGGATTCTGACCAGATAGAAACAAGCGGATGGACTGGACTGCTGCTGGTAAATGTAAACATTACTGCAAAGAATCCGCACGGAAAACAATCAATATTCCTGATGCCATTTCTGCAGCTTTTTCTCATTAGTGCTTACCGAGATGTCTGAAAACAGTGTCATCTAAGATTAGGTAACTGAAAGTTTTCCACAAGGAGCTTGTGGGGAAGTTTGTTTTTTTTAAATCTTAATTGCTCTAAGATTTTGAAATAAGCCTTGAAAAGCTCCAACATATATGGATCGTGCCCTTTTTTTTTTTTAGCTGCTCTTACACAGGTAAAACACTCAAATTCAGCCCTGAATCCAAATGTGAGTTGTTTTTCTCTAGTGTACCCATGTGAAATACAAAAACAACATTCATACTTATCAAAAAACAACATGTGCGTTCCAGTCTCAGGAGGGCAAGAAAGTAATTCTCAGTTCAAGTTGAACAGCATCAACATAACTTCAGACCTCCATTTCTTTTCTTTTCTTTTTTTTACAGTCACAGTTGTGAAATAAAACATAAAAAGGTAAAAAAAAGACATAAAAAAATAAGTTTGCAAATGATGGTAAAAAAAACAAAAACAAAGAAAAGATATGTACAGGACGTATAGTGCACAAATATAAAACAAGTATCAACATATGTAAGACAAAATATTTCCATAATTCAGTCTGTAACTCTTTGGACAGTCACATGTCTGTGCATGTGATGTAATGCCTAATTGGTTTATAAAAAGTCCCACAAACTCATTTCAAAGTGAAACAATATACACAGGTTGGATTTTTCCCAGTTTTTGCAGTTGAAACACTGCAGCACCTCCACTTACTATTAGTACTGGCTACATAATTAGCTACTAAACATCCCAATGACCCCTAAACCCTGACTGGTCATTTTCAAACCTGATAATGGTGAGCATCACATTCTGGCTACACAAGATTTCAATGCTTAGGTACAGCTTGACTATTCTGTGCTCACTACAGAACCAAAGGACCACGTTTGAACATTGTTAGGGAAAATGCCAACTCAAAGTTAAGACACTGACCCTTTTCATGAAATGCACATATATAAACACTTTCATGCTTAGAAAGTATTCAAAAGAGAAATACACACTGATGGAAGAGCTGATGTTTAGCGCAGAGGTCAACTCTGCTTTGCTGTATTCCTGAGAACGTTGTTTCTTCCCGATGATGGAGCGACAGATACTCAGTAGTTCATATTCTGTTCACTTCACTGTTTGGTTGTTCATCATGTCTAAAAACAAACACAACAGAAACAAAATAAATCTGAGCCACTGCACACATGTCTAGTGTAGCTACATAAGCTACGCGATTTGGCTCGTAGCCAACTCTTCTCTAAATGACTCTGTGTCATCTGGTGCTGTTTGAACTTTCAATATTCTTCCTATAACAAGTGTTAAGAGCGAATCTGTGACTAAAGGGCTTCGAGTTCCAGGACACAGCCATGTAAGAGTGAGACATCCACCCCAGTATGCAGCTCTGACTCAGGGTTAACCACCAATTTCACATCATGTAATCGTGCATTTGGTCTGACTGGCCAATTCCTGAAGCTGTAATGAGCAGATGTTTACAGAAAAATCCTAATGCATCATATTCAATCACATGGTTTTTCTGCAGAATTATTCATCAGTCATAAGAAATTTTGACCATTCGACCTGCTGCGTATGATTTCTCAGCATTATCATATATATTGGATGTGTTCTATATGCATGTCTGCAGTGTTTTACCTTGCAGTGTCTGATGAACCTCATTTGGCAAGTCGTCCAGGTCCTCCACACTTTTCCACAGGTGGTGAGCCGTGGCTTCTCCCGGCCGCCTTCTGCCCTTCCACACCACCAGCATCTTCAGCTTCTGCATGGTCACATCTTTCTCTGCTGCCTGGATGTCATCCAGCTCCTTGGAGTTCAAGTCTAGATAGATGGCCACCTGCTTCCACTCCTTCCCGAGTCGCTTGGCCACCTGCAGTAGCTGCTTCTCTGACATGTCTGGGCCCTGAGTCATCGCTGTTTTCACTCCATCTGGAGAAACACAAAAAACAAACACGTTTCATTTTTAGTCAAATTTCAAACGGCTGTGGACTGTTTGTGTGATATCGGCAAAACAAGGTTGAGTTCTTCTGAAATCAGTAGCTGGTATGAGATGCAGAAAGTCACCTGACTCATCCTGCCACCGAGGTCTTTTACAGGCTGTTTCCTCTTCTGAAGGGCTGCTGCTCCTCTGTCTGCCTATGAGAAAGATATACCTGATGTGAATCAACCTAAAGAAGCTGACAACGTGACGGAAAAACTGAATGTTATTGAGAAACAAGAAGCATACTGCTAGTCCTTTTCCTTGGCTTCTGTTCTGAGTTATTCACACAGTCACCTGAGAGAAAAGATGATGGACATCAGCCACATTGTAGCAGGAACCAAATTAAAATACGTGTTTAGCCTCAAAACAAGTGTCTTCAATGTGATGCTTCAGAGGCTGATACCTTCTCTGATGGTAGCCGACCATACAGTCTCCTCAGTGTTAATCTCTATAAGAGATAATTTAAAAGGAGGAGCCTGCTCGAAGAAAGCTTCAAAGTAGCCTTTCATCTTCGTAACTGCGAGGGTGAATTTCAAGTCCTGCACAGAAACACATGAATATAATTCAGTTGTTGGGTCAGTGAATAGCAAAAGGAAAACATTTTTTATGGCATGATGGTGACAAATACGTTGTTGCAATCACGCTCTGAACGCCATGATTTCTTGTGAAGGGACAAACCTGAGGTTTAATCTCTCCCTCTGGCTCGCTCAGGAGGCGATACGTCCCCTCGTCCAGTTTACACGTGGGCGGCTTGTCTATCCGAATGTAGCGGTTCTTGTATCCCTGTACCTGTTTGCGTATATCCTAGTTTACATAAAAGGACAGCAGGAACACAAGGTGAGGCAGAGGATACATCAGAAAAGTGACTAAACTGAGGACATCTGAAACGAACAAGTCACTCATAGTTCCGCTGTGGGTGAGCGACCATAGGTCAAAGCACCATAATGCACACAGTGATGGGAAAAAAAACGCATCATATGGAAAATTACTAGTTTTAGGAACTGGTATTTTTGGGTTACAATAAATGTAGGGTGATTATTCACCAACTGCATCCTCCCTCGAACACAACCACAAACACTTCCTGAGTGATTTCACCAATACAGTGTTTTGTTTTGTTTTTTTTAATTTACTGTCATGTACTGTCACCAGTATTTGATGCACTTACAGTAATACACACACCATTCTGATTAAACCCTCTCATTTCTCCACACACAATTGCGTTGGTAAGGTTTTTTGCCGGAGTTTTAGCTCGTAAGCAGTTGGCATAGCTGAAAGCTTTGATTGAAAAATGCAGTTTAGACTCATATGATGATCTCATGAATGGAATATTTCTTGGCGCAGCTCCTGTAAGGAAGGTATTTTTGCTGTGGTTGTTTTGTTTTTGCTTGTGCCTCAACGGAAAAACTCCTCAATTAAAACACAAAGCATGCTCATTATAAAACGAAAGTCATAAGGAAGTTGTGCAAACATATCATTAAAAGATGCCGATGATGTGCATCAAATAAACGTGTCTTGAGTTCTCAGACACTAAAAAGAAACTTTCCTTCACTTTAACCAATAAGGTAACTGCAGTATTTCATCATCATCGCTGTACAGGAACAGATGCTGGATCCTGAGAAGACAGGCAGTGGAGGCAACTTTCAAGAAAAGCCGAGGTGCTTTCTTTACTCACCACACTGGCATGGAAAATTGCCAGAGCGTTTACATATTAAGGAGCCTGTTCGAAAAGAGCTTCCACTAACTTGGTGTTGTCGATAGAAATTAAAAATAGGAACCTGAAACCAGAGAAGGTTTGGAGAAATTTCATCACAATTCCACAACAGTTTATTTATAAGACCCGAGACAGATACTGCTGCTGTCAAATAAGGAATAGAAAGCTAATTTAAAGACTTTATTTTGAAATAAACTGATCTATTTTTCATACTTTGATGACTTTTTATCAACTAGGAGAACACTTGGAGAGCGCATCCTCCGCCCAGACCTGTGCACTGTCTTGCCATTTTTAATAAACGTGATTCAAATCCACACCAGAAGTTAACGGGGGTTTTTTTCCCCACGGTTGACGAAATTCAGTAGTTTTTGCGTAATCTTGCCGTCAGATAAACAACAAAACAGAATCGAGAACGAAAGCAACACTTTCTTAATCGGGAGCACACAGCATTCACTGACACTTACTTTGATATCTGACGAGCTGTTTGTAGCCAGGTAGACGTGGAAGCTGTAGTTGTTGTTGTCGCTGCCGAGCTGCTTGTAGACCAGGACCACCCCGTGGTGCTCGACGCCCTGGCTCGTCTGAATAATGGGACCCACGGGGGACAGCGACGTCACATTCCACTTAACGTGGCTACCTGAGTGGTCCACCGTCGGCTCGATGAGGGGACGGTTGTTCTTTATGTGCAGGACGCTGAATGTCATCTCATTTTCTGGATCTATGTGAAGATAATAGGAACAAAATAATGAATACGTTTTACATCTTTAAACTGAGGATATTTTTTTTATGTGTGGAATTAATTTTGTTTCATTTTCGGCCCAAAAACTGGATCATATATTATAATTCACACTAAAATCAATTAGTGAAGTTGGTGTGAATGTAATATTTTGTTTTAGACGGTGAAATCAAACTGTTAATTACATTTTTTTTATTTTACAGCCTCCGGGTCACATCTTTGCTGCAATGTTCAGAACTAATGGGCCACAGAGTCACCACAGGAGGTCAGTATCATAATTAAAAATCATATGTTCTTACGAGCTAGGCAGACGGAGTGAGGGAACTGGATGGACTTGAGGACAGACGCGTCCTTGTTGACCGTGTCCACGTTGAAGATAGGTCCAGCGAACTTCCAGGAATCCCGCAGGAACGAACCAAACTTGGACCAGGATAAAATCGAGTACCGCACCAGAACCGGCTCGGATGCCTCGAAAACCAGGCCGGTGACCGAACACTCGTAGGTGCCCTCTCCTTCCAGCTGCACCCTAAAACACACACACTGAGTCAGTGTCGCTGTACGCGATCAATACGAATGCAGAGACACAAGGTCGGACTTACTGTAATCGTCCCCTGGAGATCCTCCTGGGGGTGACGAGCTCATTGCCATGGCTCTGTGAAAGCACGTGCAGTTTGTTCAAAATATATCCCCATAAATACACTAAAGACATAAACAAACACAAAAAAGTGCAACCGAAGAAAGAATTATCCAAAGTCCTCCACAATATCCGAGGAGAATGTCAACCTATGCAGGTATCAGCAGTAACATCAGGCAGACAAGACATTTAGAATCACTGCGTTTCATCTGATAACATCTGGTTTCTGAGCTCACCTGCTGGATGGCTTTGCATTTTTCACAGCATAATTTGAAGTGCCTCTCATCTGTCAGGATGTATGACAACAAACAGGAAGGTTGTTTACAAGACAGGTGACACAGTCTCCACCACGCTGAAGTACATCAGTTAAGATCTGCTTACCTTTCCCGTTTAAAACCTCTGCTGCAGGTCCAGCGGCTGTTTCTAAAAGGTTAAATAATTCAGATTGAGAATTATCAAATGAAAATCTTAAAGTGTGTAACAGGCTGAAATCCTGCGTTAACCTCTAGCAGACGCCCTCGACAAACTCCACGTTGTGTGCCAGGTTTTTGGTCGCGTGTGAGGGCGGGCCGGGCTCAATTACATATCAATTTGAGTTCCAAAACGCCCAGCAGAGTTCGATAATCTTGATGATGCGGTTGCGAGTTACCACCAAAGCCATGGCAACAACTACAACAAGCAGGCGTGGCTGTCTACATGTAAACAACAACCTAGTTTCTTATACAGAAGCAGAGCAGTTGCATCGACAGACACTTTGTTTCACGATGTGTCTTACTGTTTTCAGACTCTTCTCCGTCGGCCTCTTCGTTGTCTGCAAAAAAATGTGGGAGACAAATGTAGTGAAGCCATTCTTAACAGTCCATGTCTTGTTAAATCTGGCACATGAGACTCTGAACCAAACTTTTAATTGGATATAAAGGGTAATATTTTACCTTCCTCCTCTTCTTCCTTCTCAGCACCGCGTTCTGGTAAAGTTTAAAAAATGAGAAAAAAAAACGGAGAAGGTGAAGAACAGTAACAATTAAAGGAACATTCTGGCATTTTGCTCCAGATGTTTATTTGGTCTCTTTCTGAGTGTTGGATGAGAAAATTTCCACCATGTCTGTAAATATAGCTAGCACTAGCAGCTTAACACAAAGAGCAGCTGGAGGGGGGGAAACAGCAAGCCTGGCTCTGACAAAAGGTCAAAACAAAATCCACCTACCAGCCCCTCTAAAGCTCACTGACTAAAAAGTATATCTAATTAAATCCTGCATTGATGGCAAGATTCCAGGAAGTAGGTGCTCCTTTGTGTCATCTTTCTATGTTTTGCCAGCAGTTTGAAAGACGTGTTGTCTTTCAAAAACACTACCAAAGCTAGTAGCTGTCAAACTGAAAAGAATTAAAGGATTTTTCACTTTACGACAGTCCTTAAACTAACCACATGTGAAGCGCACTTCCATTGGAAAAATAAACCAAATCTAAGTTCAAAATTGTAATATTTCATTAAAATCTTTCTATTTTACATGCGTCATTTTAAAAATTGCTAAATAAAAATGTTTGTATTAAACGGTTTCTGTAAAAGACTAAACATTCTGAGCTCAGTGCAGCCAACAAGCTACCAGCAACACAGTTACAACCATCCATCCATTATCTGTAAACCGCTTAATCCTCACTAGGGTCGTGGGGGGCTGGAGTCTATCCCAGCTGACTTAAGGTGAAGGCAGGGGACACCCTGGACAGGTCACCAGTCCATCACAGGGCTACACTTAGAGACAGACAACCAAGCACACTCACATTCACACCTACACCTACGGACAATTTAGAATTATTTATTAACCTCAACATGTTTTTGGATTTGTGGGAGGAAGCCGGAGAACCCGGAGAGAACCCACAGTGCACGGGGAGAACATGCAAACCAGTTACAACCAATGTGACAAAAGTTCAGGGACTTTCTGTCTGAACTGGGCTGAACTACAGGCTGTATTTATGCAATCAAAAAAATTTAAGCAATAAAATACCTTTAGCATGTAGTGACATTTTTTTTCTAGCATTGGAAACACCTGTGGCCAATTGCTGTGCAGACTGATCCCGGGCTTTCATAACTTTTGTAAACTCCATATTTAAAGAAGTTAACTTTCAGGGTTTTTTTTAATTGTTTTTCTTGCCAATTTTTAGGATCAGTGGCATTCCATCTGTGTCATACTGCACAAAAAACATTTCTCTACTTCAAGCCATGCTTGTGCTGTTTCCATAGCAGTGGACGACTTTATATTGCAGTGGAAAGTGGGTAAAAATGTAAGCAAAAAATGCTCAGAAATTGGTTGGGGTTCAGAGGGTTAAACCAACAAGACATAACATGTTAATGAATGTGCTCTACATAAGCTGGCACTAGCCCTAGACAAAACCTGAATAGCTCTCTGTCTCTATTTTTGTACTAAGCAAAGCTATTATTTGTTTGCTGTAGCTTCGCAATTCCCAGAAAAACATGTCATTTTTGTCATTGTGCTTCCCAATATGGCAAACTATTAATTTGAGATATGAGCTGCGATTGAGCACATCACAGTGTGTCTCTCACCAGAGTCCTCATCCTCCTCTTCCTCCTCCTCTGAGCTCTCCTCGGTGGATGTACCGGTGTTGTCTGCTCAATAAATCAATGTGCAACAGACATGTGTGAAAACCTTCAACCGAATTTCCAATGAATGATGAGTAAAATGGGATTCATGCCACAAAAGGTTAAACTGGGCTTACCTGAACCACTGCCGTCACTTTCTGTCAGGTTATCTGTAAGAAATTAGTAATTGTTTTGAAGTGAGTGCTGTTTGGGCTTCAGGAGTTGATTCAGTAGTGTCAGAATACGAGAAAAGGTTCTTGGACATTTCCATCTTATTGCTCACAGCGATTAACCTATCATTAGAATTTGTTGTTAACCATAGCGTCATCACTATTACGGGAACTAAGACACTTTCAAAGGTCTGAAAACATCATCAGACCGTTTTTGTGGTCATTATATTAACCAGCAACAGGTGTCAGAAAGAGTAACACCATTCAGAGAGTCTTGTGTTAATTTAAGCAGAACAGGAAACAAAACTCTGCAGTATAACAAGAAACGAATGACATGCAAAAGTATTTAAAGCGAAAGAATTGGTTTCTTCCACGACCAAAATGTAGATGTTCAACTGGTCACCACACTTAACATTCACACTTTTTAAAAACTTTCCTTTAATAAGAAAAACGATAATACATTGAAGTGAAGCACATTCCAGTGTCAGAAAAAGAAGTACAGAATTAGTGCAGGTGCAGCCCCAGTCAGACCTCTGGTTTTAGTTTACTTCTAAGTTTGTGCACTGTATGTTTTTTTAAAAGTTTTCGCCTGTATTAGTCATCAAAAAAGCCCTGAGTGCAGCTGAATTACACCACCGGCTTTTACATATGCATCACTCACAGTAGCTGAACTGTTGCACCCCCGTGAAGAAGCCTGTGATAAGTGCCATGCATTAACATTCTGGCACATTTATATAGATGGGTCCAGGGAAGCTGCTGCTCCTCTCTTCCCAGCAGCAGTGGATGTCCGTGGACCGGGCCATCTGGCTGAGTGCCTGGCTGGCTAATGGATGGAGCCCATCCTCTCTGGCCCACAGAGTTTTATCTTAGACTAACAAGCAGATGCTGCCATCGCTGCTCTACTCGCAGCGCCTCCCTCATCAATCTCTCTCCTCCACTTCGCTCAATCTGTCTGTTTCACCTCTATGCACTCTCCCTCTCGCGCGCCACTCCTTTCTCCTTGTCCTCATTTGCCTCCTATGGCCAATCTCTTTCTGTGCTGCTGCTGCTGCCGCCTCACAGCTGAGCCAGCAGGCATCCCTCTTCTTCACTCTGGCATTGCTGCTTCCTTTCATCAGACTGACAAACAAGGTGGAGAGCAAACACAGTCACGGATAAACACACATGAATGTGCAACCACACGTCCAAACACTGAGCGGTGTGCAGCTTCAGAGATTTGGACAGTTTTCATGGCTGTTGCCTGCCATCTGCTGGTCTAAAATTATAGCAGAACAAAATGTAAAAAAAAACAAAAAAAGGGGGGGGGGGTTTGACTTATGACCACTTATTTTCTGAACATATATATAGATTTCCAAAGTTTGTCGTCTTAAGTGGCTTTTAGGTTGCTAAAGTCTTATTTTTTCCTACTGTCAAATGCATCACATACTAGCTTGTACTTTGGGGGGCTGATGCCAATATCACTTTTTACAGAGTAAAAAAGTCCAATATTGATATATTGGTCACTGTTATTAATAGTCCATCCATCTATCTATTATCTATACACCGCTTAATCCTCACTAGGGTCACCAGGGGACTGGAGCCTATCCCAGCTGACTCAGGGCGAAGGCAGGGGACACCCTGGACAGGTCGCCAGTCTTGTTATTTTTGGCATGCAATAGTTGTTTTTAAATGATGGGGTCATTATTAATAAACTTTCAGCTTACAGTGAAGATACCACTTGACTCTGCACCACTGTCTGCTCAGCAGTGATATGTGCTCTGCAACATGTGCTGCAGCAAGTGTCGACAGAATTTGAAAAAATGGAGTTGAAGCTGCTCTGCAGGGCAAACTGTGTGGTGACACTATGCCCCAATCACCAGAAACAACAAACCAAACCAAGATGTTGAGTTTTTTGGCTGCACATTTCCATCAAACAAACAAAATTCTAGATACTGTGTGAATTATTTAATACATATTCCCTCCAATTCAGCCTGAGACTTAGACATCACTAAAGAATGAACACAGGAGATCACTGAGCTGCATATGTATTATGGACAACCTTTTTGCCGCTTTATCAGATATTTTTAAGAGGCCTTAAAATATAAAACTATGTGGTGTTTTACCAGAAAAAAATATAAGAGGAACTAAATTCTGAAAACATATTTTTTTCTGTACCGGTGTAGAGTATTAAAAAGAAGTAAATGTAACCTTAAACTGTGAGGACAGAAGTGAATGTATGACTGTGCATAAATCTTGCTGCCCTTTAATGCAAATGATATGGAAAGCAGGGAAGCCACACGGCGGTAAAGTAAGACAGGTGGAAAGATATAAAGAAAGGAAGGAAAACAAAAGTATTCGTGAATAAAAGGAGGGGATGCACCTTTTTAAATAATGAAAGGACAAGGAGCGTAGCACAAAGTACAGTATATAAAAACAACACAGACACATGTGGCCCTGCGTGTGCACTGTGGCAAAGTGAAAGAGCAGCTAATGGTGAGGGGGAGGGAAGGAATGAAAATGGGTCCATGTTTACCTTTGTTTTCAGGCGCAGGGATATCTCCGTCTCTGTAGGGCAGAAGAGATAACATTCAGATGACTAGAAATCAGAACAGAACTCACCACGACTGGAAAGCTGAAAATGACGGTGCAAAAAAAAAAAAGTGCAGCTGCAGGCTTTTTTTTTTTTCTTTTTTGTTTACCAATAGTAAACCACTTCTGCTTATAGGTGAATAGAAACATGCGCAGACGAGTGAATAAGAAAAAGAGGAAACGCTCGGCCCGCATCTCACTTTTTCACACACACCAAGTCATCTTGCACAACGAAAGATTCACCTTCCCACCCAAACTTTCATCCTGACCCACTTTCAGAGGAGTGTTGATGGGACAGGAAACCAGGCGTGGAAAGATACTGGCTTGGTACTTTTTCCATTAAACAAAAGGCACATGGCACTGCAGTAGGCCTGGAGGACTATTTAGCATTATTATTTATCTACTTTCAGTGACATCTTGCTGTAATGATCATGTGGGGTTATTAGCTTAGAAAATACTGATGTCAAAACTATTGATTTAAGGTAATTTGTGACTTTTGTCTTTTGT